AAAAAAAAAAAGAAAAAATGAGGTGGAAAGGAATCAAAAGTCTGTATTCGTTGAATACGGCTTTTGGAAAAATTATTTAAAAAACGTATTCCGTGAATACGTTTTCCTTTGTAAAAAAAATTTGAAAAACGTATTCAGTGAATACATTTTTTAATTAAATTATACAGAAAACGTATTTTGTAAATACGTGCTTTTTATGTTGGTCCTCTCCTTTTTTTTTGTTTTTTGTCCACTTATTATTTTTTTTATTAATAAATATATAAATCGCCCGTTAATCAGCCCATTAATTATTTAATTAACCAAAAAAAAAAAAAGAAAATCACATCTGTTCGTTGACTTCATGTCAACAGAGCTCGTTGCCCTATAATATATTTTTTTTTTTATAAGTATAATGTCTTCGATATTAAGGGTAAATGACGAACACTTCTTGCAAAATGTAAGCTAAATTGCAAGACATATTAAAATAATAACAAAATATGTTTTTACATAAAATGTCTTGTAGAGTTTTCGATTATTTTCTCTTAAAATTACAAACATGTTGCTGCTGAGGTTTAATTGAGGCATTTTTTTTTTTTTGTATTAATAAAAATAAATGTTTAATGATATCTTGTAGCTCTTCCAATTCCAAACAATAATTAGATTTGTCCAGTCAAAATTATTGGAAAACTCTAGTAACGTAATAAATAAATTGAAGTATCTAACGGATCAATTTGATATTAATCCTTTATAAGCAACCCAAACACAATAGAAAATCTATATATTGATAGGTTGCACTTATTCAGTATGTCATTAAGAGTTAAAGAGTCTTAACCAACAAAAGAAATAGAATTTATATAGCACTATTGAAGAAACATTTAAATTTTGGAAAATTGATTATTTTGATTATTTTTATTAGAATCATTAAATATGACCATATTAAATTTTGGAAAATTAATTATTTTGATTATGTTTATTATAATATCATACAAGAAGATCCAAGTAGTTACGATGATGAGTTTGATGATTAAAGTTGATGAAAGAGAGAATTAGTAGGGTTACGAACTGATTTGACAATGTTCAACCACACCTAATAATGAGAAATTGATCTTCTAACAATTGACCCAGAATTTGTTAATATCCTATTTTCATATGGAAGATGTATAAATTTATATAGAAAACCATTTACTGAATAAATGATTTCAATAATCAATATCAACCGTTCACATATACTTCACATATACTTCACATATACTATGTTCGCAAAAACTTATTTCATATAGAAGATGTATACATTTATATAGAAATACATTTATTGATTGAACGTTTGATTTCAATTATCCCTATCAAACACATCACATATACTAGATTTAAGTTCAAGTTGGCAAAAAATAAGTTCACATATACTAGAATTAAGTTCAAGTTCGCAAAAAATAAGTCAGATTCATGAGGTGCAAAAACCATTAAGATTAAAATCCCAAAATCAACTAACCATTATTGATGTATAAACTGATTTAAAAATGTTGAAGCTCGAAAATTCTTATCTACACTTTACAACATATACTAGATAAAGGTTCGCGATAAGAAATGTTCCAGTTCACGAGTCGCAAAACGCATCAAAATTTAAAATCTCTAGAAAGAGTTAAAATGCACATACTCCATAATAACGTGTCATGTCAATGCTAATTAGTAACATAGTGGGAAATGCTACAGTCCCGTTACGGTATTATCCCGTCGGGTGTTTTAACCGTTAGATCCATATTTAATTAGATGATTTAACAGTTAAAACACCCGACGGAATGGTATCGTAACAGTACCGTAGCATTTCCCTAACTTAGTAGGCCCTCAAAATCAAATGCCCCGCGCAACACGGGTTTCTCGTAATTTCCACAAACCTACAAAAGCCCACTGCACAACCCCATATTCTCCCCCCCTTTATAAATATTAACACACACGCTCTCAAATCTTACTTTCAGATAGTTCATAAACCATATCTTCTTATATCATTATTAATCTCCACTTATTAGTTAGGTTATCACTTATTGCTACTAACACAACAAGAAAGAAAAAAAAAAATAATAATAATAATAATAATGGGAAACTGCCTAGTCCTTCAAGACAAAGTCGTCCGTGTAATGAAACCCGACGGCAAAATCCTCGAATACAAATCCCCCATCAAAGTTCACCAGGTCCTGTCCGAGTTCGCACACCACTCGTTATCCGACCGAGTCCCGGTCGCGAAGCACATGCACCCGAACGCTGACCTGGCGGGTGCTCGATTGTACTACCTGCTTCCCCTGCCTGTACCAGCTCCCCAGAAGAAGCCTGCTGCAGAAAACAAGAGCAAAAGTAAGAAGAGGGTCCGTTTTACGGACGACGTGAAAGGAGGAGGTTCGTCAGACGGGCCGCCGGCGACCGCTGGCGCCACCGTGAGGATCAAGCTCGTGATCAGCAAGCAGGAGCTTCAGGCCATGCTTCAGGTTCAGAAAGAGTGGGTCCCATCTCCTCTGGAAAGTGGTCCCGATGTGAAGTAGCAACTAGTATAACTTTTGAGGGGGTATTTGTAATTTCGAAAGATTGTAGGATGCTTTTGGTGTAATTTTAGGCTGAAACCCTGTTAGAGTAAGTTTTTAGTTTTACTAAGGGGTTAATACTTAGCAGAGATAATAGAAAAAAGAGTTTTTTTTTTTTTGTTTTGATCACAAGTGTATAACATGCGGTCCTCATGTTGTGTTTATGATGGAAGTTTATATATGGGATCAAGCAATCTAATTACAGATGCAGAATTTTGATTATACTAGTTATATGATGATCTACTCGTATATTTGTATGGATAGTAATTACATGAACAGTCCCTAAGGTTTGGACAAACAGCAAAAAGCTCCCATAATCTGTTAATAGTTATTGTTGGTAGTGAGTGACATTGAGGTTTTACCTAACAAAATAGCCCCTTAATTATTAGAGGTGCAGCTTGTATAACACAAACAAATGCCAAGGAATTATTTCTAAATTCAAGAGACATTAGTATGTCGTATTATGAAACGGATGCCGTTAAATCATTCTGATGAAGTGAATAGCTTGACTTATAAACTTGAGATCGATCTATCTCTAGAGAAATTCTGACCAGAATCCTTAATAGGATATATATGTATTTGCAGACTTGCAGTCACTAGATATTTCACCGTTGGATGTGTTTTGATCCAACGGTAAAAAAACCCGATGACCGCACTATATATATATGTGTGTGTGTGTGTGTGTGTGTAGGGTGAAAATTGAAATCTACCCTATTTACTATAATGTGAAATAGCTTATTCGAACTGCTCGAAAGATGGTTTGAGAACAGAAAATACTGTTTTTTTCCAATAAGTAATGGGCTCTGCCTCAGCATCTGCACAATGCAATTATCATGTGCACAAGATTGCAATTATCATTATTGTGTTTGCTTTTTCAGCACTGTTGCTAAAAGTACCATTTTGGCGGTTTTGACCAAGTCAAAAAAACGTTTAAGTGGTATTTCGTTCGCGTGTAATTACCTCATTTGTTCAACACCAACCGAAAGTGGCACCAACAACCGTAACACTAGTATCAATTACCATCATGTAAAGAATATTTCTCTTGGACCTCTGAAATCGAAAAGTTAGGCAATCAAGAAAGTGGATATATAGATATAATGTCGAAAAATTTCATATTGCCCTAAACCCGATGTACTTTAGCTGGATTAGCGCAAACAGATTACAACTTACTAAAACTTTTCGATCCTCAGCTACATGGCTTCATTGCAACAAATCATTTCTTTTAATATAAAATAGAAGTGTTACAATACTATTTCAATTTCCAAACACAAATCCAAACTCCAAAGTGAATTTTTCCAACTTTGACAGTTGCTACACAAAACAAACTGCCCAGAATGTAAGATGAAGCACTTATATCATCAACATACCTGCCACAAGAATATGAACTACCATTAGATTCTAGCAAGATTTGACAGGTACAACAACAATAAATTTTAAGCTCGCTCTTTATATAAGAAAAAAAAAAGGAAAAAGATATTGTAGTCTGTATACTCCCTATGAGGTTCGTATTCATTCTACAGGCTCATTAGATCCTACCGGTGTGGGCAGTTCACCGTCAAATCACACACACACGCACACACCCATGTGGGTAAGTGTTGATTTGACGTTGGAAAGCTTGGCGTAAGTTTATTTATTCTATATACTACACCTCAATATGAAATTTTTTTGTGAAATATGAACAAATTCAACAGGCTATGTGTGAGTCTGTTGTAATGCAATCAAAATATATTATGGCACTCACACAAGAGTAATAGAATCAGAAGCAAGGCCAATATAGATGGTACTGGATGATATCTAGCTTGGATATCATGTAAAGATCGATGGCATTTGTCTCTAAAACCCCTTATCCAGCTACTCAATTGCATGGCTTGAGAAGGTGACAGGAAGCAAGATAAATTGCTATGTCCGAATGCTGAATGCAGTCGGGCCATCCTCTGTCAAGATATGAAGAGTGAAAAAATAAAGTAGAATAAATTACATAGTTGCAGACAGAAGAACAAATCCAGAAATAATTTTCCTATTTCATTACTAATGTGAGTTTTCTGACATCATTTATTTTGTGAACAGGCTCGTTCTTTTCAATATTGGTAGAAATGCCTCTACTGATACATAATACAACAATCTCCATTAATCTACTCTCATGCAACAAAATCTGACTACGGTATCTAAAGTGATTGAGACCTATTTAATAAAACTACATGATCTAGACAAGGGTCCGTGAATTTGACTAGCAATCCACTTCTTTATTACTCGGTCATTTAGTAGCATATCACACCAGTAAATATTTTAATAGCTAGCGAACACATCTAACCACATTAGAGAAAAACTTTCAAGACGGGATTTGAGATAACCATCAAGAAAAATTCGAAATAGTCACTTAACCGTACTTCATACAGTGTGGGTTATATATAAGTAAGATTCAAGAAAGTGTACACAAACCAGACCCAGAGTCCAGCATTGAAAATTATTGATACTACAAATACATATATCAAATATTGCCAGTTGATAATCTTGGTCGCTCGTTTTGTCTCATTCTAATCCAGTGGTTCACATGACCATTTAAATAATGATGCAGGTGGCCTTACAAATCCTTCCCCTTAGGTGAATGGTGATTATTTATGTTGTCTCAAAGTCACACTTTTAACCTCATTGGTATATATTATATAGATAATCATGAAATGAAGGACCAGAAAGAAAACAGAAACAAAATCATACTCTCCCACGTTGCGTTGATCATGCATGAAAAACAAATCTAACAGAAATTTATTAAATCCTAATAACAAATTTGACAAAAAACATGAACAAAAAATCAATATACTGAATTCGAGAACTACATTAACTCTTGAAATCTCATACATAAATTATAAACAAAAGTCAATGATAAAATTACCTGCATGCCTGGGTAAAAATTGCTGAAGAGCTGGGACTGCCTCTGTTCTTCCCCATCTTTTAACCTCTTTGTGAAACTTCTGCTAAACCTGAAATTTCCCAAGGACCTAAATATGTTCATTCTCCCAAAATATCCTTCCAGCTTATTTCTCTGCAAGTTGCTTCTACCAATTGCATGATTGGCTTCCAAATCCCATGTCCCTTCTTCGGCGTGCATCCCTGTATTAGCTCCCTCAAAAGAAACTGAAGGTCCCAAATCCATTTCTGCTAGAGAATTCTTCAACTCCATATTATTACGGTCTCGGTATGAAATCTCGTCCGCATTCAAATTTACAATTTCACCAACATTATTCTCATCGATATACTTCCTCGGACTTGATGACGTGGCTGGATCGAGAAACCTTCTCAACATATTATCATCCGCCGAGTCCTGGCCCGCCATGTGTTCAACGGGAATTTCACCCGTGAGAAACAGTTCCAGCCTATCCCTATCATGCTCATTCAAGTTCATATTCCTCGACTGGTTTCCCAATGATGCATCCATGCTTTGTTCGACATGGATTATTTGTTCCCTGATGGCTCCAATAAATTTAACGTGCCTTAGGATCACATTATTATCCAATTGAAACTTGTCGGCCAAATTAACCTCTCTCTCAAAGTCTTCGAGCTACAGACACAATGTTCCAGGGGATAAGCAAAAACACAGACAAATTTAGTTATTTTAATCGTCTACAAACAATACCTGCCATTTTGCTGTTTCCATGGCTGTGGAAAGATCTCGCTTATGACATTCAATGGAGCTAAGAAGTTGTTCGTCCATAGGATGCTCATGAACAAGACTTTGCTCATGCAAAAGAAGGCGAAATATAGACTCCATCCTGAACAAAACCATCAAATACAAATGTTCTCTCTAATCAATCTGATGAACTCAGTAGCATAAACCGCCCACCAAATTGTTTCCTTTACACGTTTCCTAACTACTATTTCTTCCTAATAAAAGCCCTAATAAAAGCCCCTATAAAATGGCCTTCCAACCCTCAAGGGTTCGACTCACGTCTATCATATGTGAGTTCCTACTTTGTATTTACCATGTTTGCATAACTATATTGTATTTCCTTAATTTGATAGAGTGTTTACCAAATACCAATGTATATATTATACAGAGAGCATTACAGGCATCTTGCAATAATGAAGAACAATAAGCAGCTACTAAATCAAAAGCCTGTAACGTTGAATTTCCTCTAGTTAAACTGCAATAAATCTAACACGGGAAGCAAACAGAGCCATTTTTGCCAGCATTTTTATCCTTTAAACACCGATTTTTGTTCCTTTCATCCAATCTTATTGTTCACACACACACACACACACACACGCACAGAGATCGAGAGAGAGAGGGAGAGATTACCGATCGGCGGAGTCTTGAACGACCTCGGCCGCCGCGAAATGCGGGTCGGATTCCCATTCGCGCATGCTAAACCCAGCTACCGTACAAAACCTTTTCCACTACAAAATCGAATCGCTAAATTCGAACATGCTCAGATCAATTTGGGAACAAAAACTAGCAGCAACAAGGAGCAAAATGAATTGTAAAGAAGAGTAAGAGAAAAAAACAAATGCCCACACATGTGAATTGAAGATGAAGCCGAGCGAAGTATATTATATCTAGGTGGAATTAGCCGCCATGCTCAATATTATCTCGATTACTTCTCCCCCGTTTGAATGATATGGTCGGAAAATTTACAGGAATTGCTCCGGTAGGGTTTATCCCAATCGAACAGATGATTTTTGCGTTTCGTAAATGGAAATATGGCTGCGATAATAAAACCGGCAACTGGTTGGGCCGTACATTTGTTATCACAGATGGTGGTTGTATGGTTTGAGGAAAAAAAGTAATTACTAATTATTGTCGTCTCCTTTAGTCGTTTTATTAACAAATAGTACTACCTCCTATTTTTAATATATGTCGTTTTAATAAGTTTCACACTAATTAAGAGTATTTTTTTTGTCAATAATAACTTTATTTAATGAAGATAAAGATAAATGTTTTGAGAAAAAGTGAAAAGTGAATATGAAAAGACGTAATATATTTATTGGCTAAATGAGGGTAATAATGAAAAAATATGTACAAAAGATCCAAACTGACATTTATTTGACAAATAGTTGAAAAAGCTAGAATGACATTTAAAAAAAATAGGAGGAAGTACTAGTTATGATAATCGTTTTATGTTTTTACTTTTTAGACTTAATGATTCAATAATAATTACAATCAATAGTCGATACGTTCTACCACTGGAGATCCATGGTACAAAAGACTATAAATTGCATAAAATAAAATCTGATAATAATATTGAATCACTCACGAAATCTTGAAAAGATAATCATCTAAGGCAAAAATCGTGCTAGGAATAATAAAAGTACTAGGATTGTAGAACTTTCATATCAAAATATACTAAAAATTGATGGAGATTTGGTTGATGTAAATATTGAAGTCAATATGAATTGTCGATGCAGAATAAACTTATAATAGAAGTAGGATAATGCTCCTCTA